GTCTGGTGGCGGAGATCATGACATGGGGGCGAAGCCAAACACTGTTCATCTGCGCACACTGTGATGCCACACAGCTGGTTCAGTATCAGTGAAGTTTCCCTTTATATTCATTGTCTTGTGTGGCGATCAGCAGTGATGTGGTGGTTCACTTTTACACTGTGATCTGTAGCCTATAGTTCGGCTTTAGCTTCTAACTATCTTTGTCTTTTTAACCTGTTGTTGCTGCTGAGTCAGTTTGACATCCTGGATATATCAGATATATATATATATATACAGTACAGGCCAAAAGTTTGGACACACCTTCTCATTCAATACGTTTTCTTTATTTTCATGACTATTTACATTGTAGATTCTCACTGAAGGCATCAAAACTATGAATGAACACATGTGGAGTTATGTACTTAACAAAAAAAGGTGAAATAACTGAAAACATGTTTTATATTCTAGTTTCTTCAAAATAGCCACCCTTTGCTCTGATTACTGCTTTGCACACTCTTGGCATTCTCTCCATGAGCTTCAAGAGGTAGTCACCTGAAATGATTTTCCAACAGTCTTGAAGGAGTTCCCAGAGGTGTTTAGCACTTGTTGGCCCCTTTGCCTTCACTCTGCGGTCCAGCTCACCCCAAACCATCTCGATTGGGTTCAGGTCCGGTGACTGTGGAGGCCAGGTCATCTGCCGCAGCACTCCATCACTCTCCTTCTTGGTCAAATAGCCCTTACACAGCCTGGAGGTGTGTTTGGGGTCATTGTCCTGTTGAAAAATAAATGATCGTCCAACTAAATGCAAACTGGATGGGATGGCATGTCGCTGCAGGATGCTGTGGTAGCCATGCTGGTTCAGTGCGCCTTCAATTTTGAATAAATCCCCAACAGTGTCACCAGCAAAACACCCCCACACCATCACACCTCCTCCTCCATGCTTCACAGTGGGAACCAGGCATGTGGAATCCATCCGTTCACCTTTTCTGCGTCTCACAAAGACACGGCGGTTGGAACCAAAGATCTCAAATTTGGACTCATCAGACCAAAGCACAGATTTCCACTGGTCTAATGTCCATTCCTTGTGCTTCTTGGCCCAAACAAATCTCTTCTGCTTGTTGCCTCTCTTTAGCAGTGGTTTCCTAGCAGCTATTTGACCATGAAGACCTGATTCGCGCAGTCTCCTCTTAACAGTTGTTCTAGAGATGGGTCTGCTGCTAGAACTCTGTGTGGCATTCATCTGGTCTCTGATCTGAGCTGCTGTTAACTTGCGATTTCTGAGGCTGGTGACTCGGATGAACTTATCCTCAGAAGCAGAGGTGACTCTTGGTCTTCCTTTCCTGGGTCGGTCCTCATGTGTGCCAGTTTCGTTGTAGCGCTTGATGGTTTTTGCGACTCCACTTGGGGACACATTTAAAGTTTTTGCAATTTTCCGGACTGACTGACCTTCATTTCTTAAAGTAATGATGGCCACTCGTTTTTCTTTAGTTAGCTGATTGGTTCTTGCCATAATATGAATTTTAACAGTTGTCCAATAGGGCTGTCGGCTGTGTATTAACCTGACTTCTGCACAATACAACTGATGGTCCCAACCCCATTGATAAAGCAAGAAATTCCACTAATTAACCCTGATAAGGCACACCTGTGAAGTGGAAACCATTTCAGGTGACTACCTCTTGAAGCTCATGGAGAGAATGCCAAGAGTGTGCAAAGCAGTAATCAGAGCAAAGGGTGGCTATTTTGAAGAAACTAGAATATAAAACATGTTTTCAGTTATTTCACCTTTTTTTGTTAAGTACATAACTCCACATGTGTTCATTCATAGTTTTGATGCCTTCAGTGAGAATCTACAATGTAAATAGTCATGAAAATAAAGAAAACGCATTGGATGAGAAGGTGTGTCCAAACTTTTGGCCTGTACTGTATATCAGACTGTAGACCCCTCTGTCTGCTTCTCTCTGGAATCACTGTTTCATTTTTTCAACAATGAAAGAATATTTCATATTGATAATATTTCTTCAGGGAGTGCAGTTAGTTACAGTGTGGGCTCCATGCTTATGTTGACAGCTTGTAGGACCGTCACGAAGGGGCGGTGCTTAGCAAAGGGTCAACTCTGGACCAATTTCAACAATTGTTGTTCCCATTAGTCACTTAGACGCAAAAACATGGGAAAATAGAGTCCAGGTTGAAAAATAGCTTACTCTTTAATACCTATGAAAGCATAAGTAAATAAACACCCGACGAGTCTGATGGGTCAGACAAAAGGAGTTTGAGGAGATGATCAGAGAGTTTCAGGTATTACTAGAAGGCAGGCAGCTGATAGCGATTCTGACATCAACTCAGGCTGTCAACTATTACTGATAGTTGTGGCCTCTTCGTTACATCTTGTTTGTTTAATCTGCACAAACACCGAAGTGTAAAAAGGACCACTTATGGTTTTGCAGGGTGTTATGCACCAGACTAGTTCTTGGAGCAGCCAGCAGGGACAGACCAGACAAAGTGTGTTTATTAGTGAGCTTTAGAGGTGCTGGAAAATGGATTTTGTTTCCTTCAAACAAGGGAGTTTTAGGGCTGCTGTGAAACTGTGCCTACTCAGGGTAACAAAATTTTTTTGTCTTGGGTACAATAGATGAACAAGAAAGGACAGCAGAGGAGATACCCGCACACCAGTGTAACTGGGCTAGAAAACCACAAAAAGGTCGAGACTAGGGATACACCGATCTGAGTTTTTCAGTCCTGATTTCTTTACCAATTTCAGGCCTTTAGGTCTTGGACAATACTGAGTGCCGATCCGATACCAGTGTGTGCCTCAGTGTGTGGAAGTGACTGTGATCATTCTTTTATGTGCACGACAAAATCAGGCTTGACAAACATTGCTTTCCCAACGAAATGTAACAACTAAATACATAGATATAAATGTACTGAATCGGTCAAACATATATATTTTTTTAAGATATTTTTGGGGCTTTTTGCCTTTATTTGATAGGACAGCTATAGTGTGAAAGAAGGAGAGAGAGAATGACATGGGGAATGACATACAGCAAAGGGCAATGGATTGGGAACGAACCCGTGGCCGCTGCGGCAAGGACACAGCCTTGTGTCAAAACATATTAAGGGATTAACATTCCAGTATAAAACAGTACAGCTGCATAAAATGTAAACATAATATGGTCTTCCAGCGTGCTGCTGATGCATGACATAGTATGTGCATCTGTAATTAGATGTAAACACAACACTGACTTTAATAGTTCAGCCCCAATCTATCTATTTGAGTCAGTATCAGCCCGATATCTGATATCAGTATCAGATCGGTGCATTCCTACTTTAGATCGTGTCAGACTTTATGCTAAGGTAAGCAAACACGATCCTCATGTTGAACACCTAATTGCTGAATTTGCTTTTTTCTGGATAAGTCACAGTTTTAAGCAAAAGCAGTTCAGCCTTGATTAACTCTCAGCTCATGACTCATGTATTCAGACCGCCTCAGGCTTTGCTGCAGGTTCAAACAGAGGCCTCATCTATTTATTATTAATGTCGCTCAGTTGATCTGAAGAATTTGAAGATTCTTTGCTCTTTGCTCAGTTATTAAAGCATTCACCTCAGTTTTGTATGATTTGAATACATTTTAAACTTTTTTTTCTTTAAATATGGAAACATTTCGCAGTTCTTCATCTAAATGCTTTAATTACGGCTCAGTCACTAAGCCATATGTTGTGTGGTGACAGCTCAGAGCAAGACAAGCTAGTAAACTGCTCTTGTTAGATTGAAAACCACAGTATGTGTCTCCAACAACCTCTTGTTATTGCTGCTATAACACACACACATTATGCATCACTGAAGAAGAACTGTCCAGTCAGCTGGTTGAGGAGCACACAGTGCCAGTGGCGAGTTGACGCTGATGTTGCATAAGAGGCTGAACACCCTCAAGAAAAAACAGTGTTTTGTTCGGAGAAAAAAAATAAATAAATAATGAAAACATGTTGGCAGGCAGTCAGCTGTATGGACACACTCTCATGCATTCACAGACACACATTTCACACCTCAGACACAGCAGGACAGTGTTCTAGTCGACAATAGATGTAAAACACTTTTATATGCATGGACACAGACAATCCTCTGTTACTCTCCATCAAACTGAGAGAGTAGATGGACAGATATTGGAATATTACAAGACAGGAAATACCTCAAGAAACACTAATTCCTTCCTCAAGAAACACTAATTCCTTCCTCAAGAAACACTAATTCCTTTTTATATTTGTCATTGTTTTCAGTAATTCAGCATCTGAAATTTGAATAGACATTGTAAATACTACAGTACTACCAAAGTAATCGTCATCAGTTTTCCACTTGTCTTTGTATTTGCCTGTGAGCCCTCGGTGTTTCTCAGCTGTGAAATTGTTTTGCAGTCATGTCTGGTGATTTCTCCTCCCTGCTGAGGATGTGTTGATTGTCTTTGTAATGACAGTCATTAAAACATCACATCACATAAAAGATGTTGAACAGTTGTATTAACTCCCAGAGTCAATGCCAGTGTTTATAAAATGTCAATTTTATCTATTTTGCCTTTTAAAACAATGTTTTAATGCTACATGCGGTGCTCTCGCTGCACTATACAGGCACAATTTTTATTCCTACCAATTGCTCAGAAAATTTCGGAAACCTTTAACAATTTTTTCCATATTTTTTTTAAACTATTTTCCTACTGGATGTACACACGATAATGATTCCTGTATAAAAAGCACTGCAGTAGATCAAAAGGACATTTGGCCTGGTGGAACCACAGCTGTTGTGTGAGAATTTGTTGTTATTCAGCATTGCGCTGCAGACACAAACACACACACATTTACACCTGCTTATTGTCTGTACTTTGCACATTTCCAGTCTTCCCAAAGCCTCAGGATGCTGATTCACTATCACTGACTCATGTTCTGTTGTCTTTTTTGTCATTTAGTGACTCAAATTGTTGTTCCCGCTGCCTTGGTGTTTGTTTTACTGAGCATCTTGTGTCTGTTGTGTTACAGGGATTTCCTTCCCCGTGGTTCTGGCATTGTGACTCGTCGTCCTTTGGTTCTGCAGCTGATGAACTGCCCCACAGGTGAAAATTTCTCACCCATAAACATCTACGGAATTAGCTGTTAGTTTCTTCTTTTTAATTCTGAGTTTGGTTGAAGCCAGAATCGAGTACCCATTAAACGCATGGCATCTTAAAGTAATTCTGCACTGATTTCAACATTCAGCATCTACAGCAAAATCCTTTCACCTTCTCCACTCCCACTGATTTTGTATTTCACTTCATAATATGAATGGCATAACAGTCCCAGTCCTTTAAATAACTCCTTTGATTCTTCTAGAACTACAGATAAGACACAGCTTTTAGTTTCCACAGGTGCAAACTTCCCCTATCCTCTCTGAAGTCTAAACATTCCTCCTCCACTCACCTCAAGTAAATACCTTCCTTCAGCATCTCCCTCTCTCCATTCATCTCTACAGACTAGGAGATGAAAACAACATCCACATGTTGCCGCGGTTACACTTCACTAGGTTGTTGCGGAGCAGTTAGCAAGCTCTTTCTCACAGCGTACTCATGGTGTGAGTCAGAAATTAATTAAACCTGTTTTCATTTACACAGTCAAGGCTACAGGATTACCTTATAGCAGTGCTTTTCAAACTGTGAGGAGGGTCACAGTGGCAGTTAAACCCCAAATCAAAAATATATATGTCTTATCTTATTACCTGTAGGGCCATTTATCAGTCTAGATAGTTTTGGTGTGAATTGGTGAGTGTTGGAGATACCTGCCATAGAAATGTCTGCCTTCTGTTGAATATAATGGAACTAGATGGCACTCAGCTTGTGGTGTTCAAATCGCCACAAAAATAAAATACATTCAAAAAAATCAACAGCAATGTGTCTTTCCTAAAATCATGATCCTGTTACTCATGATAATCTACAGACCATTTCAACAACTTAAAAAACAGTTTGGCCTCTTGGACTCTCACTTCTTACCATATGTGCAATTATATGGTAAGAAATGTGAAGAGGGAACGGTTCCTGCCTCATGTCCAGAGTGTGATCACCTTCTAAAGAAGGCAACTCTGGCAAGAGGTGTGGTCCCAGATATCTATAACTTAATGTCTATAGCTGCCCCTAATGCATATTTCTCTGTCCAGCTGGCTTGGGAGCATGACCTAAATACATCTCTGACTGCTTCCCATTCAGTAAAACACTGGTTAGAAGCGACATCTCTTATGTCAGAGTTTATCAATGTCATTTTCCCAGTGTGCCCCAAAGTATGCATGCTGGGCATACTCCCCGAGTCATAACTCAGTCATATCTGAAGACCCTAACTTGATTCACATGTTTTGAGATTATGTGTGACTTCTACCTCCTGGGGACATCATTATCTCCAATATCCATCATGAATTAATGTCCATAAATCAGTTTAGAGAACAACAACATAAGACGCTCCTTATAACTCCAGAACTTGCCTGCAATCGTCACATTTTAAAGTTTTTTTCAGTATGAAAGCACTTCAGTGATAGCTGTCTATAAGTCTGTGGGTACACTGCAAACAGCAGCTGCTAATGGCTTATTTGGCATACATTCAGTGCCACACAAGTAGAGGAATACATGGCAACATTATACTTGTTTTATATCTTATGGGGACTGTAGTTCCAAAACTTAGAGATAATAATCCCCCAACACTGAGGTAAGACAAAGAATGGTAATAGGAGTTAAAAATCCATTAATATTTGCATTAAAGTGCAAAAATCTCCCCTATTTTCCTGGTGAAAGGGTTGAAATTGGGCTAATTTCAGCATTTCTCCTTCACTTTCTTTGTCTTTTCTACTGTCTTCTTCCTGCTTCTTCTGTTCTCCTTCCTTTTTCTCCAATTTCAAATGTCTCGTTTAACTGTCTTTTCCAGAATATGCTGAGTTCCTCCACTGTAAGGGCAAAAAGTTTCTAGATTTTGATGAGGTCCGGCAGGAAATCGAGGCAGAGACTGACCGCATCACCGGGGCCAACAAGGGCATCTCCCCTGTGCCCATTAACCTGCGTGTTTACTCCCCCAATGGTGAGGACGTTTAAACTCCACACAGACACCAGTTTGGGATGCTTGTTCTGCATGTCTGACATTGATAAATTATGCACCACCAGGCTTTTTATTTGGCAACAATGCGTCAGAGGAGGCTCTTTTCAGTTCGCTTAGCTTTCTCTTAGTTCTGCTGTTCCCTTTTTCCACACAGTGTTGAACCTGACCCTGGTGGACCTGCCGGGGATGACCAAGGTGCCAGTGGGTGACCAGCCTGCAGACATCGAGTCCCAGATTAGAGAAATGCTGATGCAGTTTGTCACCAAGGAGAACTGCCTGATGCTGGCCGTGTCCCCAGCCAACTCTGATCTGGCCAACTCTGATGCTTTAAAGATTGCCAAAGAGGTCGACCCTCAGGGTGAGTGTATGCACACACACACACATTTCCATTTCATTGTATGTCTACTCCCCCTATTTCAACAGGAAATATTACTTTTCACCCTACTACAATTATTTGATAGTTGCTAGTCGGTCTGGCACGATACCAGATTTTCACTACACGTTTATTGTGGCCAAAGACTTCATGATAACAATATAACCGCTTTGTCTGTGGAAAATACTATGCTATCAATCAAATTTATCTTTAACTTTGCTTATTGTACATTTTTTCTTGTTTTTGGCAAATGAATTACACTCCAAATATAGGGAGGTGGAGAACAAGTCTGTGACCATAACTGTACAAAAGCTTACAGAAAAAAGAATTACACTTACTAGATGAAGGCAACCAGATGGCAGTGGGGGAGGGAGACAACGTGAGAACAAGAAGAAACAGAAAAGTTTTAAGAAATGCTGAATTATTCACACAGTATTATCATATGTGTATTGTTAACATGACATCAGTATTTCATTTTAAAATATTACCCAAATATGGCGCCTTGATACAAATTAAACTGCCCAACAGTATATGAAGTAGAGTTGATTTGAAGGTTTTACTGGTTGCTTTTAAAGTACTCCATGGTCTGGCTCCAGCTTACATTTGCGAGCCACACAACAAATGCAACAAATCTCTGCTAATGAGTTGCCAGAAATTAAAGCCGATGCTTTTCTGCCTCTAAACTCAGTCTTCCTAAATGTCTGCTATGTTTTTTTCTGTCTCTGCATTAATTGGTCTTTTGGTGTAATGTCACTTTGAAAACTGTCTTTGTATTATCTCAGTTAGTTCTGCTAGTTTAATATTGTTTTGTGTTTGTCTAATTTTACTCCTTTTACCGCAAAGCACTTTATACGTTTGTTTAGAAAAGTTATAAATTATTTAAATAAGTTTTCCACCACATTTGACAGAGATATAAATCATTGCTTAAAAGGCAGGGGGTCAGTTTCAGAATATAAAACTGTGCTCCCATAAGCTTGAATGCAACCTGAGATCCTCTGGTAGTTCACTCCTGGCCATTCCTCGGTTAAACCTTAAAACAAAGGTGAGCAAGCCTTCTCTGTTCGAGCCCTTCAGTTGAAAAAAAGACCTGCCAGAGGAGATCAGGACAGCTAACACATTGTCCTTTTGATTTTAGACTTGCTTTTTATTGACTCGTCTGTTGTTTTGTTGTATTTACCATAATATTTTATAAACTATTTGTTTACTGTCATTTTAATTGTATAGAAAGTGCTTTTTAACTTGTCTTTAAAAAAGCGCTTTGTAAATGAATGTATTATTATTGCAATTGTTATGATGATGATGACGATGATTTTTAGTTAAAATTGGTTGAAAACATAGCAGCAGTATTTGATTTTACCCCACGTATGTATTAGGGCGGCACAATATTATAAACAAGTCATTGATGCTGTCAGATAAAGACTTTAAGATGAATACCAGCATCAGCCTGATATGAACATTTCTGTTAATATGGTGACTGATAAGCTAATGCTCTAACTATGCGACTTTAATTTCAATCAGGAGAGACAGAAAAATGAAGTAAAGATAATATTTAACACAAAATATGAGTGTACAGGTTAACAGATGATTTGTGCTGATTAAGATTTAACAGAAGTCTTTGGAGCTTGGACACCAGAGGGAGATATTTTGTGGTCGAGGGACATGTGAGCAGCAGCAAGATGAATCCCCCCCACGGAGTCTAGACACTGGTGGTGGTGGTGGCTGGTGACTCTGAAGCTGATGGCTGATGAGGAGGATGAATCTGTAAAGTACTGTTGTAAGGATCATCTCAGGAAGAGCACCATCCAAGTCTGTTAAAGTAGGATGAATTTGACAGTTTTGTTGTTGAAAATGTTACATAAAAACAAATATGGCATGTTTTACTTTTACATGTAACCTAAGTTAGGGGAGTTTCCTTATTTTGCCCAGTGAGTGTCTAAATTTCAAAAAATATTGTATTCTATGTCTGTGTCTGTGAGTGGGCCATCATGATAAAAGTGTGCTTAATAATATGTTAATACAGGAGAGACTTGATGTTCTCTGCAGTTAGGTGGAGAAAAATATGCACATATATTGGCATCGACATCAGCATCAGCCAATGAGTTGGAAAATATCAGCATAACGGTTATCAGCAAAAATCCAATATCATGCATCCCTAATATGCACTCCAGCATCAGAAATGATTTCCAGTGTCGTTTTCAGTCCCATTTTCAGGATCAGTTTGTTATAACTGTGCTGTGTGTGTTTATGGTTGTGCATGAAGGTATGAGGACCATCGGTGTGATCACCAAACTGGACCTGATGGACGAGGGGACGGATGCTAAGGAAATTCTGGAAAATAAGCTGCTTCCACTCAGGAGGGGTGAGCACACACACGAATACACTCACACAAGCAGTGCCTCCTCTCTTTACTTCAGGGCCCTCGCTATGACACACTGTTTCCCTCTTGTGGTGGTGAGCGAGGCAGTCGTACCCAAAAATGTTCAATGCCCTAAGTGCTAAAAAAAGGAAACATGAAAAGGGTGGAAGGAGGAGGGTGTGATAAAACACTAAAGAGTGGGAAATTAAAAAGACAGACAGAAGAAGGTGGAGGAGAAGAAGAGTTAGAGAGGAGAAGGAGCAAAGAGAAAAACACTTTGTTGGAAAAGAGCTTGCGTGTATCTTGCGGGCTGCCCTTTATTGCAATTTGCTGATGTGGTACTTTTCTTTTCCATTTGCACTTGGTTAGGACCCAGGCATGTGCTTTTGAATATTTTCCATGTTCTTTGTTTTTTCTACACCCCCCCGTTCCTTCTTCTTTTCCTCCCCGTCTCTCTCTCTGTCTAATCTGGATGTTCACGTTTACAAGGCTGCTGGCTCACAGTTGCATTAGTTATAGAGCATGAAACAGCCTTTAACCGAGTGATGCATGAGAAAACTTAACTGGAGGTGAAATGGGATCCGCGTGACCTGAACTTTCCTGGTTGTTTCTGTCTTTTTCCTTTTTCTCTCTCTGACATTTATTCATGTAATTTCTCCTTCCTTCTTTTCTCTCATCGTTCGTCTATATTCTTTCCTTTAATCCCATGTCTCTTGAAATGTGGTTTTCCTCAGTTAAACATTATTAAACACAGTTAAGCGGTTTGGTCCTCAAGGGGAAGTTCATTTTGGGTTTGGCTGTTCAAACTTTTATGTAGAAAATAAAGAGAACAGCACACTCCCAAATTGCTCTAATGCAAAACTATACTATTGTCCAGTCAAATAACCAGTCAGGCCACAACTATTGAATCTATTCCAGTCGCTCTCAAAAATTCCAGGAAGTGATAAATGGAGTTGGATCTGGTTTCTGCAAATCTCACAGCGTTTCAGACTGTATTGTAAATGACCCCGGGACTCCTGTCTGTCCAGGTTACATCGGCGTGGTGAACAGGAGCCAGAAGGACATAGATGGCAGGAAGGACATCAATGCTGCTATCGCTGCTGAGAGGAAGTTCTTTCTCTCCCACCCTGCGTATAGACACTTGGCCGACCGGATGGGCACTCCCTACCTCCAGAAAGTCCTCAATCAGGTGTGTAAAAGAGCAACACACAGTTGAAGTCACATGTGACTGTAATATGACCATTCATAGGTCCTGTATTTTCCAATATTTCTTAATTCTGACCTTTGACCTGCACAGCAACTGACCAACCACATCCGGGACACCCTCCCGAATCTGCGGGCCAAGCTGCAGAGTCAGCTTCTGTCCATAGAGAAGGAGGTGGAGGAGTACAAGAACTTCAGACCTGATGATCCATCTCGCAAGACCAAGGCTCTGCTCCAGTGAGTAGATACAGTAGAAGACAATTAGATAGAAACAAATGAATAGATTCATTGATATCTGTATGTCACTCTGCCGCCCCGCAGGATGGTGCAGCAGTTCTCTGTGGACTTTGAGAAGTGTATAGAGGGCTCCGGGGACCAGATTGACACAGCTGAGCTGTCAGGTGGTGCCAGGATCAATCGCATCTTCCATGAACGCTTCCCCTTCGAACTGGTCAAGGTGTGTGTCTGCTACATGTTGTGTTTATTTATGTGTGATTCGGTTTGATAGTTTTATTTGGAGACTGTTTGAAAATGATTGGGGCAGGGAGCAGAAGATGAGGCTTAGATTTCATGTTTGGTTAACGCAAGACTCTCCACAGCTTTGTCAATATTTTCTTTGGACCCTCCACTCCAACTGCAACACCTTCTCCCTCATATCTCAAAATAAAGCGCTAACCCTAACCCCACAAGGTAATGGACAGGATTGCCAAAATGTGACTGTTTGTGGCAGCTTTTTGCAATAAAAAGCTTTTGATTTTGCGGACTTTGGCACCACCACCAAACCTAAAACATGCCGTGCAATAGCCGTAAAATTTATGCATACAGGTTTGCACTAACCTGGGGAAAAAAGCGACCTCGCTCTGTGGTTTTGGAATAATCTGCAGGGTATAATACATCTTAAAAATCTAGCTCACTCAGAAAAATTCAAAGCCATGTTAAAAGTCCATTTAGCTGAGAAATGCAGCTGTTTCATTCCGTGTGTTTGATGATTGTGTGTCCTGTCTGGTGTGTTTTATTTCTGTTTAAACTGTAACTGGTGTGCTGTCTCGGCCAGGTCTCCCTCAGAAAAGAGGTTTCCAACTCAAGGGACTTCCTGGTTGAATAAAGGTTAAATAAATCATTAGATTCCAATTTTTTCAGAACATTAATGGGAGATGTGGGAATTGTCATTATGCTTTTTGTTTTCTTGTTTTCTATTTATATGCAACCCAATTGCTAGACTAAATGTCTGGATGTTATATTTGTACATTATTATGCAGCCGAAATGCTGAAACTTTATGCTTCTTTACATTTAACATCACTGTGGTTAATGTGGGGTTAGGTTTAGGCAGAAAAATCACTTGGTTATGGTTAGGAAAAGATCCCGTTTTGGCATAAAACACATGCTTTTGGTGGCACAATCCCAGCTTGAAATGGAGCAATGTCTTGGTAAAAAACAAGTGCTTTTCGTGGCACTATCTCTGCTGGTAACACACTGACGTATTCCTAAAAAACACCCACATTTGGTGACTAAAAAGCAGCTATAAAGCAATAAAGCAATGACTCACTAAAAAGCAACTGGTTTTGTTGTTTTATTGGTCGTGAACACTGGGCTGCAGTGGTTTGCACCTTGGCAGGCATCTAGGTCAGCTCATACACCACGTCACTTCAGAAATTTGATATGATATGTAGAAATCTAACATATCCGTGGTTTGCAGAAATGTGCAATGCCAGCATTTTCCTCTGGCGACTGGGCTGTAATTAGTGGCATTATAGCCAGTTCAGTCTGCACAAAAGAGAGTTTGAGTGTCACACATCCATTTTTTACGCTGATTTATTTGACATAAATCATAATCATATTAAAGTGAAGGAAAATGTGAAGTGACTAAAAATGGTTTGGAAATGTCTTGCTGTGGTGAGATTAATAAAGTGGGAAATATTGTGTCTATTTACATCATTACGTCGATCCCTACTGGGTATCCTTTCCCAGCCTCAGACGGAGAGAAGGCCTCCCCTAGGATTCTGATTCTGGGCTTTTCTGACCCAAACATACCTCATTTCCTCCCACACAGTTTAACGGCCATCTCTCCCATTGTTGCCTCTTCACTCATCTCAGCTTATTTAATCTGTTTCTCTCACTCTGTCATCATATCCATCCAAATTTGATCCCTCCCCCACATGCTCTGCATTCACCTTTCACATCATCTTTACCCCGAGCTTGTCCTCCCTTCATCCACCTCCCCCAACCTCTGTGTCTCTAAGGCTTTTACCTCCAACCCCCCACTTACATGTTCGATCCATTTTCAATTTCTATTTCCCTCCTTTCATACATCCCCCTACTCCGTCCTCTCTCACCCTCCCTCTGAGGATATAAATCTTCCTGTCTGTGACTGATGCATCAGAAAAAAAATATGCTGTTGGTTTTTCACTAAGAGAACGGAGCAGGTTGCTTCCTAAACAGAAGCTTTACTCATAAAAATCTTAATGTTTTTTGTGTTTGTCATATATGTTTTTAAGATATATGTAACTATGTTGAAGAAAGTTGGAAAGAACGTGGCTTTGGAGTAAATGAAAGATTATATAGTATATAGCAGATCATCCTATATATGTCCTAGTTCCAGTGTAACAGTATGTTCAGCTGAATGTACGGGTCAGATCTGAGGGGGAGGAAGTGTGATTTAGGTCTGCAAAATAAAAGCAGCAGTAACAGTAAGAAATGTTTTCTCACTCCGTTTAAGCATGATATTTGAAAATAAAAGATGGAGGAATCAAGAGAGAGAAAAGATTGTCTGACTGAAATAACTCATGTTGCGATACTGAATCCTCGCTGTCGTTTCTTTTGCAGATGGAGTTTGATGAGAAAGAGCTCCGCAAGGAGATCAGCTACGCCATCAAGAACATCCACGGAATCAGGCACGTCTGCCCTCTAACTCACCCCTCCATCCCTGCTTCCCTTCCTCTTTACTTCACCTCCCTCTTTCTCTCTTTCCATCTCAGTTACCTCTGCTGGCCAGACTGCATCTAACTGACTTTGCCTCTCTAATCGCAAAGACCTCTATACTTAGTTCGAGCGCTCTGTTGAATACTAATGGCATTATGCTTAGAGAAGTTTTAGGATCAGATAGGTGACTTCTGGTTGCGCAGTACTCATTTTTTTGTTTGTTTTTCCATCCATACCGGTGTGTACATTGGTAATGTATCGTATAACAAGGCAGAAAACATCAGAAAAATCATCAAAATGTATATTTGGTGCCAAAAGGTTTTTAAATTAGAGTTTGGTCAGTCTGAATCAGATAATAACAGGATATAGTGAGAAGCAGGAGGTATGGGATTTATGGGTGGTCATGTGCTTATGGGCGACAAGTATGTGTTTTGTGTTTTGTACTTGCTGCTGCCTATCTTGGCCAGGTCTCCCTTGAAAAAGAGGTTGTTAATCTCAATGGGATCTTCCTGGTTAAATAAAGGTTAAATAAAAATAAAATAAAATGTACGCAGTGTTTAATGGTATTTCATTTATTTCCATGATTAACAGGATACTGTTGGTTTCTGTAACCAGTGGTTTAAACTTTATGCGGGTTATTTCTTCATCAGAGCTGAATACTAAAACACCAGGGAGATGATCGTTACATGATGGTAATAAATAGTAATGTTTGGAAGGCTGTTTGTAATTGGCTGTCACCAGTGGTAGCAGTGGGTCGCACCCAAAGTTTCACCTTAATTTGGTTGTTGAAATTCGAATTTAAGTTAAAATAAGATAATGCAAGTCCATTATGATATTTAGACATGCAAAAATGGATATTTAGGTGGCACAAGTCCAGTGCATAGCTCCAAAGTGGTCAGGTTTTCCTTGTGATGAGTTTTCAGGGGTTCATTTTCCTTTGCAATAATATCTGGGGCACTTGAGGCCTTAAACTAGTTGTACTGTTATTGCACTAATAATCAATAAAACAGTAATTCAGACTTTTAAGTCACTCTATGGACCTGTTATCCACAAGACTGTCAGATAGAAATATTGATGGTTGAAAACTCTGAATCCAGAAACACATTGTCCTCTATGGAAATAAATGAAATACATAAAAATTCATATGTCAAGTGAGAACCCTTCATCCTCTTAATGGATGATGAACCAACCAGTCTGCAATAACACACTAACTTTTAACAGCTCTTGAGGGACCATCACTGGATATTTGCTCTCAAAATTTCCAAATTAAGCACAGATTACTTGAAATTAGTTAAAGCTGGGGTAGGCGGTTTCTGGAAATGGTATAAATGTACACCCTCCTCCTGCAGCTCTCTTCTCTCTGTCATAGATTTATTTAACCTTATTTCAAGAAAGAACTCTCTCTGTTTATTAGACCACAAATGAGACGAGAATTAGTTAGCTACCACAGCATGTGATCCCTCTGCCCCTCTGTGGACTGCTTCCCTGGGAGTAGGGTGGGCAGCAGCGCCAAGGATGGACCTTTAGTCAGTGTAGCCGTCAAGGCAGGCTGCTGGCCAGCCGCAGTGCTGGGTCTGACCTGTGTTACAGCAGCAACAGAGTCAGGGCTGTCTGGTGTCTCAGCGCTGCCAGAGTTTGAGTTGCTGCAGCCTCTAGCTTGGGGTCCATCTCTGGCGCTGCTGCCCGCACTCCTCCCGGCGAGGTGGTCTGCAGCGGTGGGTAGTGAAGTGGAGGACACACTGTGATTTGAGGCTCTAGTTGCATAACAATGAACTTGAATTAGCCACAGCTGTGAGCCTTTGGCTGTGAATAGCAGGAGGCTAACTATTGTAGTCTAAATGCCATTTTCTCTCCGTCTCTGAAACACATCGCTGTTATTGACACGTAGGCTCGCTTTATTAAAAGTCTGTCTTCCCCTTTTGGGTTGTTTTGCTGTGTAGGTAGTTGTTGCCATTTCTGCAGGATTTTCCGCCACTTAATCAGGTTTTCCTTGAGGGAACGTGCAGGCCCATCTAAATTCGTAGAACGCCCTCTTTCTGAACAGTCCTGTGATTGGTTAAAGTCTCTCGGCACATGCTAGATTTTGTAATGCCTGAAAACAGCCAAAAGGAGGTGTAGTGTTCTCTCAGATAACTTGAATTACAATATGCTCAAAGATTATTATGGGATTTTTGGCCAATGATGCTAAAATAAAACTGCCTACCCTCAGCTCTATTATAACTTAATATTTCCTACTTTTTGATTTGTTGCCCCTCTTTCTTTCCAACTCTCTGTCTAATTTGTGTCTGTTTATGTTTGGGGGGAAAGCTCAGAAATGGAGGGTAATTTTTCACAATTAACACTTCTTTCTTTACCCAATCCTCCTCCCTCCTTTTTTCTCTCCACCATCTTCCTCTTTTTTTGGCCCTGTGGCTGGTTCTCTCTTTGTCGGGCAGAACTGGCCTCTTCACCCCGGACATGGCCTTTGAGACCATTGTGAAAAGGCAGATTGGGAAGATTAAAGAGCCTTGCACCAAATGTGTGGACATGGTCATTTCTGAGCTAGTCAGTACGGTTAGGCAGTGTACCAAGAAGGTAAAAAAAAAAAAAAAAAGTATACGGTGGATAGCACTTTATTTTCAACCCCCATCTGCAAAGTCCCTCTGCTGTTCACTCCCTTTTACTGTAACCACCTGGCTCTCTCCAGCCCTCGTTGTTTTGTCAGACAGCGAGGGGACACCTGGAGTGGCGGGGTGGGCTGCGGTACACCTGCCTGCCTACTGTACCGCTTCAGACGGGTTTTAGCTGGACAGGCTGGCCGTGGTAGTGCTGATGAAAACCAGTGTGGAGGCTGATTGGTCATCAAAATATGGCTGCCTATAAAAGATTGGAGCAGAGTCAGCTCCGAACTTGAGTTTATAGCTTTGATTAAAAGGCTTTGACTTTTCTGCCAATAAATCCAGTTGGAAGGTAGTTGGTAGTTGGAGTATATTTAATGCTTTTGTTCCTTTTTCCAGTTTATTTTAAAGTCTGGACTTCTTTTTTGACTTACTATAAGCACATATTTGTGACTGAGCAAGAATTACAGAGTGGCCTCAGTTATGCTGTTTTGGCACAGCAATTCTACACTACATACTAACAGTGTGTACAGTTTATACTATATACTGTAATAACAGGAAATAGTGCAATATGTGCACTGACATACATCAAAATTATACTGTACTATTGAATGCTACTGCCAGTTTAATTTGAATCAGTGAAATATAAAGGCAGTTGTTTTTCCAAAGGGGATCCCAAAGCATTGAAAGATATTCTTCACTTTGTGCACACAAGTTATTATCTTGTTTGCACATGCTCTCTGCAAGACAGAGAGCTGATATTTAGTGTGGAATTGGGACACAGCTTAAAGGTCCAGTGTGTAAGATTTAGGGCGGATTTAGTGGCATCTAGTGGTGAGTACTGCAGATTGCAACCACCTGAAACCTCTGGTTAGAATACCTTCAGTGTTCGTTGTCCAGGAAGTTTTTACCAGGAGTCGAATTATCTTCACAGGTCTCTTTCTCTCCAAAACGAATGAACCAGATGGAAAAATGCAAAACTAAACACAGAGTAAAGCAGCTTCAAGTTACAAATCAGCGTTTCTCCAAAGCTGTTTGTCTTGTTAGAGAAGGCCCACTTGCCCAGCACCTGCAAATGTGTGCTCACCTTATTTCTGATCCAGACATCCAAGAAGTTTTTACCTTGTGTCGAATTATTCACAGAGATTTCCTCCTCCCTAGAACAAACAGACCCAGTGATTTAAACTAGCAGAAACAAACAGTTTCACATTGCAAATCAGTGTTTCTCCCATGCTGTTTGGCATGACGGAGATGGGCCGCTAGCCTAGCACCTGTTAATGTTTGCTCACCTTTTTTCTTTCATAACTTAAGATCCAGACATTCAGGAGGTTTTTGCCAGCAGTCAAGTTGTCCTCCTCTCCAAAACAAACAGACTCAGTGATTTAAATCAGTAAAAACACTGAATAAAGCAGTTTGATGTTAAAAGAATCAGTGTTCTTTCGACGCTGTCATTGTGGAGGGGCTGCTAACTATGGTGGCTGATGTGAAAACATGAACGGCCCTATGTAGAGCCAGTGTTTGGTTTGTCCATTCTGGGCTGCTGTAGAAACATGGTGATGCAACATTAAGATCCTTGTAGACGAGGACTCGCTCCCTAGAGATATAAAACAGCTTATTATAGGGGAATAAAAACACAATGATTATTCCTTTCAGGTGATTATACACTAAAGAAAGCATATACTAATAATATATTAAATTTCTGCCAATATATCCCCATAAATCCTGCACACTGGACCTTTAAGTTTTCCTTGAACCCTCTTGAGGCTATCTATGTGCAAGCTTTGCTGTAAACAATAACTTTACATTTATACGAATTATTTTAAAGTCAAGTAGTATTAGTTCGACTCCAACAACCTTGACTAAGATTCCATATTTGCTTACACACGAAGATATACAGATGTTTATCATCATTCGTCAATCATTCAGAATACCTGGCAGAGATATTGGATGACCTCAGCCTCCAGACTTCCTTGTGTGTGAGGCTGTAGCAGTGCACCTGCAGCAGACAGGAGCCATGATGATTATGTTTTAAGTACTCCTCAGCAGGCCTCTGGGGCCGCACTCTCAGCTACAGACGCTCTTGAGTGTGGCAAAAAAGAAAAAGCAGTAGTCTTTATACAAATTGATCTGCTGTGACTAAACAGTTTCAACAGCAGTTGGACTGTAACAACCTGGAGGCCTTGGGATAATAAATTTTATGATGGAAGTTGGAGGAAAAGGAGGGATGGGTGGAGAAAAGGTCAACACCAGGAGGGATCAAGGCATTTTGGCTGAACGTTGGGGTGCACAGCTGCAGTCTTGCGGTGCGTTGCTTGGAGTTTTTGGCTGGTGGAGTTGTGCAGGCTGGAAGCTCTCTCTATTTCTTCCTCTTTCTCTTGTCTTTTCTCTCTGTTCACTCTTTATTTATAGAGAGAGACTCCAGCACTGTCCTGTTGTAGAATGGCTTCAGGGGAAACCAAATGTCTCACTTGCATTTTCTTCCTTCTGTGCTGTTTATCCCCCCCCAACCTCCACACCTTTCCCCGTCTTTTTTATCTTCAATCTGTTGTTTCCTCTGCTCCATCTCCAATTTTTACCCTCCTCGTCTGTGTATTATCCTTTTCCCTCACCATCTGTTTCACTCCTTTTCGTTTTATTTGTCTCACGACTCTTCACTTTTCTTCGTCTTCTTACAACTCTTCATTTGGTGCTTTTATTTCCCTCCTTTCTCCACCTTTTTTTGTCATTTCCTTTTTCTTTTCTTTTTTTTTTTTTACTCCTCTCTCCTGTGCCCCCTGCCCATCCCTACAGGACGGGGCTGTTCACCCCTGACCTGGCCTTTGAGGCCATAGTGAAAAAGCAGATCCAAAAGCTGAAGGAGCCCACACTGAAGTGTATAGATATGGTAGTGAGCGAACTCACCTCCACCATACGAAAGTGTAGTAACAAGGTAAAATGCTAAAGAGAACCTTCACTATCTCTGTTAATCACACGGATAGGGGTAGACCGATGGTTGGGCATTCAAGTATTGATATCAGGGGATGTATCAGACAAATTAACAGGCCTTAACTGCTTATAGTATTCTTTATAGTATTTTTTAGAAGTCCTATTCATATACCAAAGAGAATTAGATATAATAAGAGTTGAATATTATTATATTTTATTTCTCTCTTAAAATGTCCTTCTCTTTTGTGTTGGAAATTGGATGCTATCAAAGCATCAGTAAGTATACTAAGTCAGACAATTAACTGTTTGCCTATAGAGCCAAATGTAACATAACCATCCCTGAAAATGCAGAGGTTTACTCTTTATGATCAACAATGCTTTAAATGGTGCTAAATGCTAACATTGGAATGCTAACATGCTAACTGTTTTTGTACCACCTGTAAATGTACTTAAATTAATTAATTCATACTAACTGAACTAGAAGAAATACCCACATTCAAAAGATATCCTTATTAAAAACTCACTGGTTTCAAAACATCTCATTTCAGGATTGCAGAAATGTTGATTAATGTGCATTGTCCTTACAAATAAAAAATAACTAAATAAATGAAATGAAACTACTATATGTCAGTGTGTATTACAGCACGTTTAACATTTGCAGATTAAAGCAAATACATTATGTTTGCTCAAAAACTCTTCAGCCTGCAGAAATCGGTCTATCCTTACTTCTGATTTTATAGTGTAACCATATAGACTGATTTTAATTAAACTTCCTTTTTCATTTGTCTTCTGTCAGTTATTGGCCTTATATTGACAATTTAACAAATTGTTGCCTCTCAGCCTGCATGTCAGATACTTTTCTTTCACATTTGACCTTATGATGTCTGAAATTATTTGATTTAAGTTGGTTAAAATCTTATTTTCTTCTGTCTCTGTCAGTATGGTTTAATATAGTGGAGTGACTGATTGTGTAGTTCCACTCACTGACTAATTGACGTACTTGGAGCGTCTCTTTCTTTCTCTTTTTATTTCTCTTTCTCCATCCCATCGTCCTCTAACCCTTTGAGCCGACTGCTTCCTCGCAAAGCAAATGACCAAAAGACAGTGTGACCTCCTTTGGATTTCTCTTCTCTGTCACACTTTAATCTTCATTTTACTTTCAGAGACATACTGTATTTAAAGATTCTAATATACAGTGGTTGGGAAATTCTCCAAAGGGGTCAGTTTGTAGTCTTCCTCCATCATCCTCCCTCCCTGCTCCTTTGCATTGCATGTCAGTCTGAATCACTGTGAGTACCTCTGCCTGCTGCCCTGTTGGTAAAAAAAATTATTTCCCAGTTTTGTGTTTGTGTCAGTTGTTAAGACACTGAACACCTTCGACAGCCTTTGTCTGTCTTCAAGTTGCAATGCACCTTTCCAGCAGCACAAATTATGTTGCTTTCAGTTGCTTTGACATTGAATGCATCAATGGTTTACTGGTTTTATTTGTAAATCTTCATGGTTTTCACAGTTTTCGAGTATTGGATTGAATTCATGAGATGTGAAAACCATAAAGTGCTCCTCATCAAATCAGTTCACAGTATTAATGGGCTGATGTTAATTACACCTATGAGTCTTTCCTCACTGCTTACCAAGTTGAAAACTTCACGTGTTTCCTACGATTCAAAAGAACGATTTGACTAAACTGTCAACAGGTTTAAGTAACCAGATACTGTAACAATATGCTCTTATAAAACAGATGTGGAGTTGTTTTTCACAGTGTGCTTCAGCTTTGTTAATTTGATACAGACCATCGCCTTTTTCATGTGAACATTTATGCTTGTCAAACTTTCCATTCTGGCATGGCAGTTAACAATGATAGCTGTGGCAGATTTACCACTTGAAATCTTTGAATTGAAGTTTTTTGAAACTATGGGTCTTCAATTTCATACAGAAGCAAACAAGAGCATGCCTCTTGTTTCAAGCTCACAACTATTGTTTTTGTCAGCTGGAATGACAACTGTTGTTAGCAGATATACGGCTAATTAAACTAATGCCAGGGTGAAAACTCTCTGTCAGCTGTTTTTTAATGTCTCAATATGATTGTCTTTAAATATGAACCACACTGAAGAATATTAGGGCCAGGCATGAAGGGGAAAAATGAGAGGAGGAAGAATTTCTTTTAATTTTGCATTTAGAAAATAAAACAAAGTGTACAGAACAAGTCAAACTTTGAGTATTTGTGCCAAGCCTAGGAAAAATATACCAGAAGAGGAAGACTTTTGTCAAGAACAAAGCCAACTCCTTTGTGTTTTGTGATACAAAATATCCTCTCTGTAGTGCACACAGGTGTAACCATCTGTCCATTACTAGCACAGATGTAGCCACCTCTTCCAAGTTTGTCTGGTATCTCTTGAACAGACAAAATATTAAGCACAATCTCTTCAAAGTCTGTATAGTTAGTAGCACACTGTATTCATGCAGCAAAAGATAAATAATTTCCTTGTTACTAAAACCCATCCTGAAGCACAATTTCAACAATTTATCTGCAGAAGTCATTCTGTAGAGGCAGCCATATGTGCTACCTCTAGCAGTTTGATTTATTAGTTTCCACAGAAAAACATGTATACAAAAATACAGGGAAAAAAGTTCACCCCTTGGGAGCAAACAGTCAGATAAAATCCAGTATGATGTCATAATGTGCCCCCATTAAAAAGAAGAAGGAAACAACAGTAATAGACAAAGTGTGTGTATGTGTGCACACGCGTGCCTGCAATTTAAAGTTCTACAGCAGATGTTGAGAACCAACAGTACTATAACCTTACAGTTGATCAAGCAGATATGTAAAAGGTTGCCTTACACTGTTAAAACTGTCCGAAGGTCCTCGTAAAGCAAACTATCTTTTCTAGCTTCAAAAATCGCCATGTGTCTTTGACCTACTGCTTCCAATTAAGTAATATAAGTCTTCTGGGTAAAAGGGTGACATAAGCAATTTGACTATACCTTAAAAGATGAATGTCTTCACACTGAATATCAAAAATTGCTGTAAGAGGATTTGGATCAGTTGTTCTTCTAAGTGTTTTGGAAAGGGCTTCAAAAATGGAGAACCAGTAACCTGAGAGACTCAGACAAGACTGGAATGTATGAGCTAATGTTACAGATGAACTTTTACATCTGTTACAAGACTTGACTTTAGATAGGCAAAGTCTGTGTACCACCTTGAATTGAATCAGGCCGTGCCTGGCACATATTGATAAGTAATCTTGAAATTTTAGTCCCAGCATTTGAGCATTTTATTCTCAAAATGCAAAATAAAGTTTCCTCCTCTTAATTGTTTTTTCTTCTGAAGTGCTAGTGTTACTCTAATGAATGACTGAAGGTAGCAAGCTACTTAGCCATGTGTGCTAATGTTTATGGCTTATGTGAGAGCCGGCAAACAGACTTTTTTAAAACCCCTTGCACTCTTCTTGTGTCTTTAGTTTTGGAAAAGTGATAAAAAAAGACCTGACCCTCCACATTCTTTATATATACGTATATACTGTAGAGTCATTGCCCTGACTGCAGCTTACTGTGCCTAGTTACTGCTGCTGACTGGACAATTAATGTTTGATACGGTTTCAATTTGTAACATTTCCAGCAAAGTACAATGTGAGAAACACACACTGTAATGCCAGTAATTAGACTGACATTCATCCCAACAGCCTGTCCCATTATTATGAAGCATCTATTCATTATGGACGTCGTCTGCTTTGTAATCGGACCAGGAAGCAGTAAATCAACTTGGGAACCAGAAAGAGGTCTATTGATATCCGCTTCACTCACCAGACCATCTGACAGACATGAGAGATGCATTGTAACTTGCAAAGAAAAAAAAGAAAAAAAAAAAAAACAGCGCACATTTTTCTTTCTTGCGCTGTGATTTGGGTTTTGATTTTTCTTCTTTCCTCACACTTCTCCAAATGTGTTTGTGTCACATTGGAGGCCCACCAATGTCTGCGTTTGTGGGTTTGCAATGAGCTCATGGAAAAAAAGACCCACAGTGTGCTGGGAAAAGGAAGCTTTTCTGCCAGAAACATTGTTTATTCTGTGTTTGTGTGGTAATATCACAGACTTTGCACTATTCTTCTGCATTTGTTCCATATTGGCAACAAATGGACATCTTGCACATAAAATCCGCTCTTAACTCAAATCCACCCACTGGTCAGGGTGTGCAGAGAGTAGAGCTGAGTCTGGGATAAAATCCTCAGAACATGTCTAATTCTGTTTTTGTAACGTATTTTGTTGTATTGGTGGGACTGTGTGTTGTGGTTCAGTGAGATGAGAAATTTAGTGGTTTACTGAAGCTTGTATGTAGATTTGTTACAACTGAGGTGTGTGTGTGTGTGTGTTTGCTACCTACACACTGTGCTCTGTGCTCGCAGCTGGCTCAGTATCCCATGTTGCGAGAGGAGATGGAGAGAATCGTCACCCACCACATCAGGGACAGAGAAAGCCGAACTAAGAACCAGGTAACACACAAAAAATACTACACACACAGCACGAAAGTGAGTGGTTCATGGTTTTACTTGTATAAAATAAGGATGAAGTTAAAGGGGACCTATTGCGCTTTTCCTTATTTCTGTTACATATATAATATTACAATGATGGATGTTTGTATTCAACATTTCAAGTTTCAAGTCATGATGTAAACATATCTAAAAATAATTCCTGTAAGCAAAGACCTCAGACTTCAGACCGTTCTGAATCTGATTCATCTACTTTCACGACAAGCTGATGTCAGATTGTGACGGACGTCTATATGATCAGCTGCTCCTGTCACGCTACTGCAAGTGTTTACATCACGTAGCCTTAACTGCTACATGTAGCTATATGCTAACATCGGGGAAACATGTAATCTTAATGGTTGCTAATATTAATCATGCTGGTTTTGTTTAAAAGCTATTATTGATGTTTTTCCACTGTAAAAAGTGCAGCTATATTCCATTACAGTTATTCCCTGGCTACAAGTATGTTACACTGCTACATGTAGCTACTAATGTCAGGGAAATGTGTAACTGTGGTTGCTGATTGTCATTTCATCGACTTCAAACCATGCTGAATGTCCAGCTTGTTTATTCACATGAACATTAGGAATCAACCCAAAGGACTTGTTTTAGTTACCATTACAACACATTGTCAACCAACTGAAATCATGTATACACATCTCGCGTGACTCAGGCCATGTACGGCAACACTCTATGGTCAAAAAAGTGTAGCACAACTATCTACACTGATGTTGTAAATTTCTTCCTGATTTCAGATCATATTCCTGCTGTAACATGTGGTTTATAAGCTTTTATTAAGGATTTGTAATAGTAGGTAGTGCTGCTGTTCTCCATTACAGTTATAAAAAGTTTAGAAAAAAAAATTTTACACGTAATGGAATAAAAATGGTGGAATCTTAAAAGGAGCATTATACAAACAAAAATAAAGTTACTTAGTTTTTTAATGATAGCATTGCAACAATACTCTGATGCAAAGGCACTCCAAAATAACAAATGTCAGTTTAGCACAATGAAACTAAAAAAAAAATGGGACGCTATGAATACCCTGAGCTGGATCTCTAAAATATTATCAATACAATGGCATTCATTGATAACCTCTTTCTCTCCCTCTCTGTTCAGGTGTTGCTGTTGATAGACATTGAGTTGTCCTACATGAACACCAACCATGAGGACTTCATCGGATTTGCCAAGTGAGTTTCTGTTTTTCTTTTCCATTATAGAGTATAAAGATCGGCAGTCATTGCAGTGTTTAGTGCGTAGAGATTTACCAGTTCATGACACCATTTAAAAGCCTGAATCCAGTATCTCCTGATGTGTTTGTGTTGTGCAGCGCTCAGCAGAGGATCAACCAAATGAACAAGAAAAAAACGGCTGGCAACCAGGTACTGTTGAGCGTACACCGTCACCTCTATTTGACAGATTACAGTACAGCACAGACCGAACTCATGCAGTCTGTTGGCCAGCGACATGACATCTGAACTTCATACAGTCTTTCCCTAAGGCTTTATTCTGTTAGCACTCAGCTCTCTGTTTTGTCCATGCTAAATGTAGCACAGCTATACAGTATCTTGTTACCCTGGGCAACGGTCCACATCTTACACAATGCAGCCCTGTGCGGCTGCTGTACACACTAATGGACAACAGTTGTCAGATCTTGAAAGAGCTCGGTCTTTTGGTGAAAGTCACAGACAGACCAAACAAAATTATTAATATCAAGTAGAGAGCGCTCGAATACCTCTGGCAAGGTCTATGAAATCTGTCATTTTAATAACAGAAAAGGGTTTGAAATTTTAAATCTCCATCTGGATCTCGAACTGCATCAAAATACACACAGAGACAGACAATTATGCAATACATTGGTGTTTTTTTCATTAAGGAAATGTTTTAAAAATGATCACAATGTTAGATAATTGAAAAATAAATATAATCTACAACATCTCATGGTATCCTCTTGCATGGCTTTACTTTCTACATGACTTAATTTAAATTTGTGAACACAGTTTTTTTAGTTGTGTGCTAAATAATAGACAGAAAAACACACTATTATGACTGACAAACATATAATAACTGGCTACTGCAGATATGTCACTATGTCAGATCAGTGCCAAAACATTTAAAGTAAAACTAAACACAGATTTTGCATGATTTACATTCTGTCTTTTCCTCTCTGAAAGCTTGTAGATTTCGCCTTTTATTCTTCAGTCTTTTTCTCTTCAGCTCTTGTTTTTTTGGTGTCTGTCATTTTGTTTCCTCTGATTGATTTCTCCTTTTGCTGTGTCTCGTCCTCTTTCTCCTCCTCTCTGTGGCTTTTCTGCTTCAGGATGAGATCATGGTGAGTAGTGTGTGTGAGTGTGCTTGAAGTGTGAGTGTGTGTTTGATTCAGCGCATGTCTGCAGGTGGGCTTTCGTGCGTTTGTGCTCATGTTTATGCTCTGCATATGTTAGGATACTTGTATCGATATATTTGTGTCTTTTATGTGTGCTGGATTGTAGTTGATGGTGGATTCATGAGTGTTTGAAATGAGCTTCACACTAACTTCCAGACGGGCAGGTGGCTGTGGTGGGGGGATGCTTGGCTGCTGCCCTTTCCTCTCTTTTTCAGCTGTGCCCTCCCTGCAGGCACACACACTTACACTCAGACACACACTTACACTTCAGAATGAGAAATGTATTCTAAAACACTGTGTTGAAAGGCTCCATTTAAAGATGCTGAACACTGAAGCCAGTTTGCTTTGGCGGTGAGGAGAAGCCCCCCAGCAGTAGTCTGAAATAGATAAAGAGCAAGTCACTCATCTGCTCTTGAACTGCATTTGAAAGAGGAGACCAAAGAGATTTTCCTTTTCCTGGAGACAATTATGAAACATTTTTATTGACACATCACCAGACTTCCTCTTTCTTGCCCCATCTTTTATTCTCTGCCTCTGCCCAATTCATCCAAAGATGCAGACATCCAGGGGGAATGAAGACCTGCAGTGTGCTAGACATTATGTCACCTCCATAGTTGTCAGTTGTAATAACAACCACCCAGATTGGGGGTCAAAGGCCAGGGGCACATAATAAACAAAGTGGTGATCTTCACTTCCTGTTTACAGATGGACATAGTTGGCCCCATGGCTTCTGTTCTCCTGATTTAACAACCCTTCTGACCTCTGTATTGACAACTGTGGGACCCCCTAAAACCCTAATTTATGGATCTATCAGCAAATATGTGTCTTATTTAATCTCTCAAATCCTGCTTGATCATCAGTTTATAACAGTATTAGGGCCATTGTAGGGGAAAAAATAAATATTGAGTAATATTCCAAGAAAATTTTCCGAGATTTAAGTTGTAAATTTACAAAAAAAAAACACTGGATATTCTCTGAAAACTCACAAATTTGCTGCCACAAAGTCAGGTGATGTAGTATAAAGAGCGACAGATTTCTTGTAGGGAGGATGTCTCGGTGGATAAATGGGTCAAGCACACGACTTCTACCCAGGAGACCGGGGTTAGTCTCCCATGTGAGTTGATGTCAGCATATTATTTTTAGACACAGCTGCCTTAATATTTTCAGTTTTAAGGATGCATAAAGCTGCTGAATGCACACTGTGCACATGACCTGGGCCAAGCACAGGACTTTGACCATTGTTTGAATGTCCAATCAAGATGTCCTGGTATGGTTCAAAAATAGTTACAAAATGAAGGTTGTGCTAACGTCCTGGACAGTACCTGGTCATTGCCTAGACGTCCGTCTTGGGCTTCGTGGCAATGTCAAAATATGACATGATTTTATTCAGCTAACTTTGTTGCTTTTTCTGCTATGTCACCTGACTTTCTGGCAGTACATTTTGATTTAGGTTGAGGGTTTTTTGTTTTTTTTTTCATAAATTTACCCATTTAATCATGGAAATTCTTCTTTATTTTTAAGAAGAGAAGAGTATTAACCACTTACCCTGACTCTGTATTCTTTTTTTTAACCTACAGTAACCCTAACATGCTGATGTATTGCCAAGTTTTGTTCAAACCCAAAAAACTTTATCTTAAATTCCAGTCCAGATCTGAAACTCTCTAAAAATACTAAAAATATGTTCTGAATGACAGGGCATTATGTAATGAAGATCCATAGGAATATAAACGTATAGGTTGATTTTCTTCAGATCATTTAATTCAGGTTGTATTTGTTTTTTAAATTTTTTCCTTACCCAGTTGAGGGTCTAAGAATAGAGAGTGTTGTATGTTGTTCAGATTAGAAAACTCTCTGAGGCTAGATTTGTTGTGTTTGTCATAAGTGAAACAATAGATGTAGAGTATATATGACATTATTGGTTTGGGGAAAAAAATGACTTGAGAGAAAATTAATTATCAGAGCATGGTAACACGTAATTTAAAAAAAAGTATTATACTTAAAGGGAGAATACTCTAAAAACAACGGCTGAAAATTAAACAGCACTGGATTTTGATCGGTTCGGCCCTCCAGAGTTTGATCCCTTCTCTTCAAAAAGCACATACAATATAATATAGTCTGGCTCTTGCATTTCACTGCATGGTCTTTAAAAAATTTGACATGGGCCGTCCCTGTTGTAGCCTCCTTACCTCCCTTGCCCCCCCACCCTGCTTGCTGTCACCTTGCTGCTGTCCCAGCAGCCAGCTGTAATGTGCTGGTACCTGAACAACCCTGTGTAACTCTTGGCCTTCACTAAATGGCGTAGCTTTGTAACATTCTCTCCACATTCTCATTCAGCCGGAGAGAGGAGTTAGCGATCGGTTCAAGGTAAATAACACGCACACCATGTACTGTATGTGTCTATAGTTTGTTTCGTGGAGAGAATGAAATACAAGAGAGAAAAAAAGAAAAGATAAAGGAGTGTGAGGAATGTGTTTAGTCGTGTAGGTGAGCGTCACCCTGCTGTTGTTTGTGGCAGTCGCTTCTTATCTCCACTAGAAGCATTGACAATACATGTTAGTGAAGAAACATATATGTGTTTCACACACAGGCTGACAAATATGGAGTTAAAGGGACAGTTCACCCCAAAATCAAAAATACTTTTTCCTCTTACCTCTTACCTCCTACCTATCCACCGTAGAGATGTGAGACATCTCTACAGCGGATATCTTCAAAAACAATTTGACCAAAAATATGTATTTTTGATTTTGGCATGGATTGTCCCTGTAAGTTAGTGAACTGTCTGTAGAAATGCGTTTTGTATGTTATATAATGATTTTCTTCATTCTCTGTTTGTCTGTGTGTCTCTCAGGTGATCAGGAAGGGCTGGCTGACCATCAACAACATTGGCATCATGAAGGGAGGAGCCAAGGAGTACTGGTTTGTTCTCACCGCAGAATCTCTGTCCTGGTATAAAGACGATGAGGTGAGACACTGTTCACACACCAAATCAATGCAAAATTATGTTTGTTTGCACCTGCAAATTTCTGTATTTGCACACTTTACCGCTCAGAGCCGCAGGCGCAGTGTGTTGAATCTGATGTTGTGAACCATTAGTCAGAGAGCTTCCAGTTGAATTTTCAGTACATCAGTCAAACTCACAGCTGGCATTTGTTTAGCTGCTTTGTAGTGTTATCCAAAGAACAAAACAGCATCAGAAAATGTTAAAATAATAAGACAGCACACTAGTTTGTTGCAGGATGGTACTGCTTGGCAAAATAACACCCTTTGTCATATAAATGGAAAAGAAGGAACTCAGTAGAATCAACTGCGACAGGAACAAGGTGTCTTTTATTATTGTGATTAATGTTGGTCCAGTGTAATTCTGTCAGAGTAGTCTTAAAATTAGGCTCAAGTTTTCAGAAAGTTTTTTTATGTTGTTGCTGTTGTTCAGGGAATTTTTGCGGGGGATATAGCAAAACACATGATTTCACAATCATTTGTGCAACCTAGTGATTTTCAACAGCTAAATTGTCATTGCTGTTGTGTAATCTTGTGATCTGACTAAAACTGTGTACTGTACTTGGACGTTACATTTTATTGTGAGAGTTATGTACATTTTTACCACAACCTGAGACATCATCGCCTAAAAACTTTGCGTCCCATTTTAACAGCAGCACTTTTATAATATTTTCCAATAAATCACAATACCACGAGAATTATTTCAGTTCTTCCCCATGAGCATGAATTTCTTTTCCACTTTCTGGTCCATAATTCATTCCAGCTCCTCCCGCTGGCCAAATCGACTGCTGGTCCTCTGCACACTGAGACAGTATGACCCAGCATGCTTTGTTACTGGGTTGACTGGTCAGAGCGGTGTCCCATGATGCTTTGCAGAACTATTAGGAGTTAGCCACAGTCTCGCTGTCTCCAGGACTTAGCCACAGCCGCTCTGCTCACTGACATAAGTGTGTGTGTGTGTTTGTGTAGCATTGAGAAGGCCCTTTACAAAGAGTCAGGACCCCCCAGCATGTTAGACACCGAAGCTGGCACACACATGTGCATACCAGAGCCCCCTGCCCTGCCCTGTTCCCAATTACACACACACACACACACACACACACACTTCTAATAAACTTACTTCATTTCAAAGAAGGGGCACGGAGTAAGAGACTGGATTGTCGGGGAGGAGAGGGGAGGAGGCAGGAGTGTCTCTTGTTAGCTGGTTAGCAGCAGGAGTAACAAGGACCATGTGAAGGGAGAGAAAGTGGGGAGGAGATGTGGGGGTGGGGGCTCAGAGGAGGAAGGAGGGAGGAGGAGAAAGAGGAGAAAGGGCTTGGGTGGACATTTTGCCTCTATATCCTCCCTTTATACCTTTTTCCTGCCCTCATTTCCCATTGCTCCCTTACACATCCTCAAAGGTTTATCCCCAAACCAGAGGAAACTCTTCCTCATCCTCCCCTCTCATCATTCCATCTCTCCATTCTCTTTCTGCCTCACTCTTTCCTTGTCACCCTCTCCTTCTCCCCTGTCCCCACCCTCCTTCTTTTCCTCGCCTATTGTACTGTATATTTATTTGAACATGGTACAGCGAGGGGGCTGGGAGACCCAAAACCAACACATGGTGACGGTGTTAAAGCTCAGCGGAGAGGCTGAAGGGTACTGCAAATGACTTTAAAAAAAAAAAAAGAAAAGAAAAAAGAGAAACTTTCCATTTTGTTTTCTATCCAAGCTGAACGTTTTTATATAGTCCAGTCACACGAGCACACGCACACTAGAGGTTAGAGCACTCATGAGGGCTTATACTCACATGTGCACCTGGGTGGATACTTGCCAAAATACACACAGTTGATACAAAGTTGGAAACTGTTTTATGTTTAAAATAAAAAACAGGTATCACTCCCTACAGAGAGAAAGAAATGTCTTTTTTTGCATCTTTTCATGCATTTACATACAGACACATTCATTTCTTGACACCAACTTGCAAAACAGCGCAGCACCGTTTTATTGACTGCCTCTCGTCATGGGGAAAACCCTTGCCGCAGCCTGGTTACACACACACATTCAGAGAAACACACATGCACACACCACCCCCAGACACTAATAATAACTTTCAACCCAACTAGTGGTGCCAGGATGTTTTGGTTAGTGTGCATGTGTGTGTATATGTGTGTGTGTGTGTGTGTGTGTGCCTAGAAACCCTCTGGTCTGTATTACCACAGGACATGCCAATTCTTTGAATCAGGCTCCTCTGTAGCTTATGGCTTCCCAAAGCAGAAAGAGAGGGAGGGAGATGTGAATGGAGAAAAAATGGTTGAAAAGAAAACAAAAATGTACAGTAAAAAAAACCACACGACTGTGATGTTATAGACTGCCGGCACATGTGATATTCATATATTCTTATAATCAAATGCATACACTGAGACATTTTTACCTGTCACACAGACACACACACACATATAGATAAGTTCTAGATATTACCTTTCAGCGGCTGTATTTTCATTGGGTACCCCTTTTGGCTCTATGTGTGTGTGTGTGTGTGTGTGTGTGTGTGTGTCTGCCCGGGTTTCCCTGCTCCTGCTGTAAAGCTGCCAGAAAGCCAGACCCGCCTGGTGATCCCAGCTGTAAACATCCTGGGGGGAAACAGCAGACTGCTGCTTTCAACGCATTCACCAGAAACATGTCTGCCATACAGTGTGTGTGTGTGTGTGTGTGTGTGTGTGTGTGTGTGTGTGTGTGTGTGTGTGTGTGCGCACGCCTATGTGTATGTGCGTGGACTGATGTGTGTGCATGTTCCCGAGGCTGCGACATGGTGGCAGGGCTCTAAATGGAAACAGGTTGGTTTGCGGTTTTCATTCCTGCAGACGATGCTCTATGATGGGACACCGTGTGAACGTTCCTGCCCTCTACTTTGCTTTTGTGTATTTGAGAGGGAGAGGGAGTTCAAAATGGTACGCTGTGGATTTGCTTTATCAAAGACACGCGGGCTGGAAGACAAACTGCGGCCCCGGTGAAGAGCTAGAAAACAAAACATAATGGAAAACAAGGCAGGGGGTCTTAGCTAAACTTGTAGCGCTTCACATGACGTCACCTACAAACGCTAAAGCCACAAACAGTTTTTTTTTGTCTTTTTTTGGGAGGGCTATACAAAGACTCGTAAAAATGGCGAACAGACAATGACAGAGTGGCTTCTCTTTCAACATTTTTGTACGGTGGCTTCCTGCCTCTCTGCACATTACATGGTCATTTGAGGTAAAGTTGGTGCAGGGAAGGCAGAGACGTAATTGTACATTTTGGTCAGGAGCGCAGTGAGATGCAGGGGGGGTTACTGTGTGTTTTAGTTATCTTTTTGGGTAAGTGTTCATTTCTTCTGTGTGGTTGAATTTTTGGGGGGGTTTAGTTTTCAGCTTGATCTTTTGGTTTTGTAGAAAAATAAACAACATGCTGGGGATGTCATGCAACCATCACTTTTATTTATATGAATGAGATTCAGTTGGCCAATATGACATTAAAAAATTTTGGACATAGTATTTGTTTAATTTCTGTGACTGTGTAATTTGCTTGAGGAAAGAAAAAGAGAAACAATGTCAAATAGACATCCAGTCATCTTTATTTCAACTGTTTCAAACTATTTTTACAGTTTCATCTTCATCAGATTTCACTCTTGGTTCAATGACAAATCAAACAATACAAATATATAGGTTTTTAAATATATATAAAGCAAGACAAACAACTATGTCTCAAACCGTTGGAAAAAAAAAATCGGGACTCATGTATCCGTCACTCATAAATCCAGAATAAGCGAGTGCCAGACCTCTGCAGTGGAGCCTTTGGGTGCTTTATTTAGGGTTGTGCCCGGGCTTGTCCAGATGGACTTAGGGTGGTGCTGTGTGTTCCCACAGCCTGATGTGCTTGTGCCTGTTGGATACCCTCTGGAGCACTCTTGCTCCCTTTCTTGTCCCTATTTCGGCCACTGCGAGTCGTCCCGTGCTTCCCCGGCCAGCCTAACCAATGTGCAGACTACTGTACAACCACTACTTCCTGAACAGGTAGTCTGAACACTGGGCAGGCGGGCTGGGCAACTGGAGGATGCTGCTGTGGAGAAGGTTTTACTCATGCCGAGCAGAATGAAGATGCTGTTACACACACACTCTGAAAACTATACTCACTGTGACTCCAGTATCTTCCGGCTCCTTCTGCTCTCATAGTCGGTGTGCTACAAAGTGCTGATGAGGCTGATTGTGTGGCTAAAGGAGAAACAGCATGTGAGGGATGGATGAAGGGGCCGGCAGGGAGGTGAAGGAGTAGGAGGAGGAGGAGGTGGTGGAGGAGGAGGAGAGGTTAGACAGAGGTGATAGCCACTGATTGGCAGATTCAACGACATTCCCTCCTGTTTCCCGCTGTGAGCAGCAGCATTCCAGACGCAGCTCTGGAGGAGAGACACCAGACGCAGAAATGCATTTTTGCCAACAACTCAAGACACATTGAAGCTTAAAAAAAATTGAATAAATCTGATAGTTATTCAGTGTATTCTGCGTATTATTTGGGATATTTTTGGTCAAGTTTTCAATTATTCATTCATTTTCTTCAATCTGCAAATATTTTGTTGCAAAAAAACCCCAAAGTGCCATGTGTTTTGCATTGCTGAAAATGAATCAAAGCAGGCAACATACAGAGAGTGCAAATGTATAAACGCACACAAAGAGGTCATACCCCATTTACCGCAAATTTGTACAACCTAAACTTGGTTTGTCCTCATTGACCCCCAGGCCAAAACAAAGTAGATAAAACCCAGGATATTTCACAAGACGTTAAATAGTTTAAAAAACTGTTGAGATTAAGCTATCAGTTAAAAAAAAATGAAACTCCCAAAAGCCAGCTTTGCTCTCCAAGTGTTCTCAAACTTTCTTGGTTAGAAACCTAGCAGTGAATAGTTGTGGTCAGTTGAGATCTAAGTCTGACCCACCACCTCTCAAAGCAGTGGAA